ATTAAGGACCATTTTGGATGGGGTCAAGAGGAGCTAACAGAGTTTGCAGAGTATTTAGAACTTAATGGAAATGTCAGTGAATCCTGTGGGCTATAGTGCAAGTCATCTCAGGAGGACATGTATTGCCTTACTGCAGGTTTTTTTTTTATATTTATTTTTTAATGTTTATTTTTTATTTTTATTTATTTATTTGTTATTTTTATTATATATTATATTATATTTATATTTTATTATTTATTATTTATTTTATTTTTAATGTTTAATGTTTATTTATTTTTGGGAGGGAGAGAGACAGACAGAGCACAAGCAGGGGAGGGGCAGAGAGAGAGGAAGACACAGAATCCGAAGCAGCTCCAGGCTCTGAGCTGTCAGCACCGAGCCCAACACGGGGCTCGAACCCACGAACCGTGAGATCATGACCTGAGCTGAAGTCGGACAATTAACCGACTGAGCCCCCAGACGCCCCTCCCTTGCTGTATTTACATGAACACAAGAAGGATTTAAAACTAAGTGAACCAAACTGTCCAGTTTTGAAATCAGAAAAAGAACAACAAAATAAATCCAAAGAAAATAAGAAGAAAGAAAATAAAAACGGAGATTAGGGAAACAGGAAATAAACAAAAAAAATTGAATGAAACCAATCGCTTGTGTTTTGGAAAGACTAATAAAATAGTCCTTCTGCAAAAAGAAAACACAAATAAACAACATTGGGATTAAAGAGAGGGCATAACCAAGAGATTAAAAAATATGGTCAGGAAGGACTTAATATCCCGCATTTGAAACCTCATGAAAAGGACACTTCTCCAGGAAAACATTTATTAGCAAAATTGGCCCAGGAAGAAAGAAAAATCTGAACAGACCAACAATCAAAAAGGAAAACAAAAATTTAAAGACCTACCTCCCCAAAGGCATCTGGAAGTTATATATTTGCAAAACACAACTATATTTGGGGCGCCCGGGGGGCTCAGTCAGTTAAGTGTCCGACTTCTGCTCAGGTCATGATCTCGTAGTTTGTGGGTTCGAGCCCCGCATCGGGCTCTGTGCTGACAGCTCAGAGCCTGGAGCCTGCTTTGGATTCTGTGTCTCCCTCTCTCTCTGCCCCTCCCCTGCTCACACTCTGTCTCTCTCACTTTCTCAAAAATAAATAAACATTAAAAAAAAAAGCACAACTGTATTTGGCAATTATTGGTGAAAAATCTTCCTGACCTGAAAGCTGGGAATACCCTAAATAGGAGGAAGCAGCAAAGTCACTAAACAATGTCCCTAATTTGACAATATCGAATCTGAAATGCCTATTCTACAAGATACCTTGAACGAGTTCAGAAGGTAAACAGCACACACATTGGTCCGTGTATGTGTGTATGAAGAAAATATAAGTATCCAGGACATGTGACAGACTCCTCTACATCAGTAAGAAAAAACGCAGCAGAAACAGACAATGACTTCAACCGTCTGTGGCCAAAGGAAGAACACATTTCCACGTGGCGGCCGGGCGTTACAAAAGCCATGTGACCTCACCTTAAAAAGGAGACAACTGCGTGCATCGATCGGGTGAGCAGAAAATCCAAGACTTAAATAACATCAGGGCTAAGAGGTTGAGGGGCAACGCACATATACTCCACGTGCGCGTGGAAGGGTGTCAGTGTGAGAGCCCTTTGGACCAGCTCACTAGCGACTGTAAAGTAGGAAATCACGCACATGATCACAGCTAGCAACTCGACTCCTGTGTTTTTATCTGAAAAAGAAAAAAAGCCTATGGGCGTCCCAAAAGATTGATACAAAGTTGTTCGTTTTAACATTCAAAAAATAGGGGCGCCTGGGGGGCTCAGTCGGTTAAGCATCCAACTTTGGCTCAGGTCGTGGCAGTTCCTGAGTTCGAACCCCGCATCAGGCTCTGTGCTGACAGCTCGAGCCTGCTTTAGATCCTGTGTTTCTGTCTCTCTCTGCCCCTCCCCAACCTCATGCTCTGTCTCTCTCTGTCTCTCAGTAATAAATAAATGTAAAAAAAAAAAAATTCAAAAAATAAAAGGCAACAACCGCTTGCTGTTTAAATGGCCACCAATGGTGGGTAAGCAGCCGGTGAGGTGTTAAAGCGACAGCGTATTAAATAACAGTAAAACACATTAGAGCCACGTAACCAACATGGTTGATTTCAAAAAGACTGCTGGGTGAAAAAGGCAAGATACAGAGTAATCTGTACAACATGATACTATTTTTATAAGACATAAGCAATGTCCTATAGTTCCAGCTACTATGTGTGTGCGTGTGAAAGTATTTTGTTTATTTTTTTAAATGTTTATTTTTGAGAGAGAGAGACAGAGCATGAGCAGGAGAGGGGCAGAGAGAGAGGGAGACCCAGTATCAGAAGGAGGCTGTGGGCTCCCAGCTGTCAGCACAGAGCCTGACGTGGGGCTTGAACTCACAGACCGCGAGATGACCTGAGCCAAAGTCAGACGCCCATCCGACTGAGCCACCCAGACGCCCCTGAAAGTATTTTAAAAAAACTAGAAGGAAGAGGCCTAGCTGGTGAAGTTGGTAGGGTGCTGAGGCATCTCTGAAGGACGGGGGAGGCCAGGAAACCAGGAGGGAGGTGGGTTAAAAGGAACATTAGTTTTATTTCCTTTCAAATTTGAAAAGGAGAAAGTGAATGTAATCTTTGTGAAGGGGCCGGGCAAAGGCAGGCGGCCTAGAATGCCATTTTACTGTCACTGGAGTAATTGTGTGTCCACAGAGGGAGGCACACGGTGGGTCACGTGCAGGGGAGCACGTCCCGTATCTGATCCGGAAATCCTACAAGATCAGGTTCTCGGGGGCCCAGCCAGATCTCAGAGGGGTCTGGAGCCCCAGCAGGGAGCAGCGTGACCTCAAGGCAGACACGGGGACCCCCAGGCTCGTCCTGATCCCCAGAGAGGCCAGGAGCCACGAGGGTCAGCCGGGAAGGCGGCGAGCGGGGGCCAGCACAGAGTTCACAAGACCTGACTCTCCCCTGTCCGCCTAGACAGAGGCTAATGCTGTTCAGAGGAACAGAAAAGAGAGGCCTAAGCGTATTCCCCCCCACCCCCCCCCACTGCCAGAGACTGAGCATTCCATAAGGGCTGTTTAAAGTATCTCTAAGAACTATTTTAATTGTTAGGATGAAAAGTGTATTGGGGCGCCTGGGTGGCTTAGTCGGTTGAGCGTCCGACTTTCGCTTAGGTCATGTACTCGCGGTTCGTGGGTTCGAGCTCCGCGTCGGGCTCTGTGCTGACTGCCAGCTCAGAGCCTGGAGCCTGTTTCAGTCTGTGACTCCCTCTCTCTCTGACCCTCCCCTGCTCACGCTGTCTCTCTCTCTCTCTCTCTCCTAGAAATAAATAAAACATTAAAAAAAAAAAAGAAAAGTGTATTTATTTATATGTATCACTCAGCTGCGGGTAAATGCTTGGGAAGAGCTGGTTAAATACAGACCAAAGACTTCCCATCTTCTGTGCTCACCTGACCGCAGCTGGGGTGAGCTTTGTGGCCCTGCGCCCCCTTCTCCCGGTGAACTTCCCAGTGCTTTGCAGTCTCTGTCCTCCCCGTGGATTGCTGTCCCCTGCTCCACGATGGCTGGTCCTCCTGGCAGCGTGGCCTGCGCTCATATTCCACAGCCTGAATCATCACGCCACGCTCAAGGTTTATGGAAGCTTGGGGCCTCGTAAAGTTCAAAGTCCGCAACCGTGATAAAGAGGCCCACTCAACTTGGCTTGGCAGCACACACAGGGGTGCCTGCAGCTGGAGAGGAGGGCCTCAGGCTGACCCACGCTTGGCCCTGCAGGCCCCAGCCCTGCGTCAGGCCTCCTTGAACTTCCTGCTTCTGAAAGAGGACGTCAGTTACCTCCATTCTGACCTCCGCCTGTACTTTCCAACTCGTTAAGCTCTTCCTTCCAGCTTATCTCTTCACTCAGGCAACAGATCCTTCAGGCAAAGCAACCCGTGGTGGGAACAGAAAACTACCCCCTGGAGCATCAAGAGCTGCCCTGAGCCAGCAAGACCCTGTGTGAGTGACTCCAGGACGGTGATCCATCTGACCTTCGTTGCCCACCTGCACGTTGCCCACCTGCACCCGCCTCTGTCCCACCGTTTCCTTATATAAACCTGCTACCGTTACAGCACTTTGGAGACAGTCTTTGAGCCGCCAGTCGGCTGTCTTCCCAGCGTTGGCCTCCCTGAAATCAATTCCTTTCTTGTTCCCCCACCACTTGTTCCTCTGTCTTTGGATTCTGTTCAGCGGTGAGTGCCTGAGCCCGCTCTGTTGGGGACCCCTGCACCCCGACTACGCTGCTCCCTGCTCAGACCTCCTTCCACCACATTTACTGTGAAGGTGCCCGAGATGCTGGGAACGCGCCTCCTCCGAGATCCCTTCAGGCCCTGTGAGCTTGGGGGCCCCACCTACTGCAGGGTGCAGACTTGGGGTGTAGAAAAAAATCCACACATCCCAGCAGTCACCTGGCCCCAGCCTTGCTCTGTCTCTCTCACAAGGTGCAGACTGTCTCCCCGGGAGTTCGGGGATCCCCACCCCACCCCGCAGAAAACCTAGTTCTGCCTCTACTGACACGTTCATTTCGATGCGCCTCATCTATAAAGGGGTCCCCTTTCTACTCTCTTTGAACTGGCTTTAACATCTGTCTGCTTGCTTCGCTGATAAACGAGTAGAAATAAAGCCTTTATCACTTCCCCATGCTTAAACCTGAATGAGAATCAGGATTTCACGTTTTCCTGAAAATTATCTCAGATGAACCGAGCTCGGATCTCACGGCTGCCGTTTACCGACTTTGGGGACTTCGGGAGAGCGCTCGTCTGCAAAAGGGGGTTTGAGGGGGAACCAGAGGAGCTCCCAGAAGCCGGGCTCCAGCGCAGCCGCGGCCCCGCCCCCGCCGCGGCCCCGCCCCCGCCGCGGCCCCGCCCCCAGGCCTTCCTCCCACTACAAAGTCCCCACCGCCCTGGTGCGAGCCCAGAGCCGGAGGTGGAAGTCGTCCGGGCGGGCGGGGAGGGGCAGCCTCACCGCACCGTGACCCCCATTGGGCGGGGTGGGGGCGGGCCCTGGCTTACTATTGGCTAGTGGCAGGAGGCGAGGCCTGATCCAGGCTCGCGATTGGTCGGCGTTCGGAGGCGGGGCCGGACCCAGGCCTGTGATTGGCCGGAGGTCGGCGGCGGACGCGGCGTGGTGATGGAGCCCGCAGGGCCTAGGACCCGGGCGGCTGCGCGGCTTGGGGCGCACGCGACGCGGGAGGAGCGGCCGAAGCGGCGGTCTGTGCGGCGGCAGCCGCGGAGGAGGTGGGTGGGGGTCCGGCGGGGGTCGCTCTTGGCGGTGCCGTGGCCGGGAAGCCTGTGCGTCCTCGCCGGGGGGACGGGTGGTGATCTTACCGCCGTCGGCCGTGGGTCCTCGCGGAGGAGGCCGGCTGGTGTCATTCGTACCCTTGCTGGACACGAAGGAGGCGGTGCCTGGAGCGGGGACACCTGTCCCGAGTCTTTAGGGAGCAGGTGGCGAATGGGAGGAAGGGTGTTCCAGTCGAAGGAACCGAGTGGGCAAAGGCTCAGAGGCACGGAAAGGATGGATGTGCCCTTCGGCACACCTGGGGGGGGTTAGGAGCACCTGGGGGGGCGGTTAGGAGCACCTGGGGGGGGGGTTAGGAGCACCCCTCCATGGCCTTCTTGGAAACAGCATCCCTAGCTTTGTCTTAAACCCCAAAGAAGGAGAGCGGGGGTGTTTCAGACTGGACAGAGATGGAGAGCAAGTGGCTGCCAGCCAATGGGGACGACTTCGTTTCTGCATAGGAACGCTGAGATGGCTCAGCCCCGGTACAGACGGGCGGGTGTCCTGACAGGTACGGGAGTGGGGGTGTTGGGGGGGACGAGATGAAGGACCGAGAAATTATCAAGGGAGAGGGAAGAGCACGGCCAGGGGACGAAATTCACAAGGGAGCATTTCCCAAGTACTTCCCCTTTAATGAGACCCCAAAGTCTCCTCCCTTCCGCCCTTCTGGTAGGTCTCAGGGTCCCCTAAGAAAGTTACAAAGAAGGGTCCACGGATGATGGTAGATTTGTTGGTGGATTTAGACAATTTCTGCTTTGAAGCTCCCGAATGGCGGCTGCGGTGTCTTCTCAGTCTCTAATGATTACAGTTGTTTTTAAGAGAAAGCTAATCTGGGGGCGCCTGGGCGGTTCAGTTGGTTACGGGCCCACCTTCAGCTCAGGTCACGATCTCACGGTTCATGAGATCGAGCCCACCCCCATCAAGGCTCTGTGCTGACAGCTCGGCCTGGGGCCTGCTTCGGATTCTGTGTGTCTCCCTCTCTCTCTCTGCCCCTCCCCCACTCACACTCTGTCTCTCAAAAATAAACATTAACAAAAATTTAAAATAAAAAAAAGAAAGCTAATCTGGGTTTATCCAGGCTTTTCCAACTTCATGGACTGAAGGTGCTCTTTTCTCTCTTAGAATCCTCCACGACAGCAGGGGAGTTAGTGTGGGGTCCACAGAACATATCCACGGAAGCGTGGACTGGGGAGAAAGCTTGGCCCTGCTCTGTGGGGCCCTGAAGCTTTCTGGTTCTGCGAGGTTTACTGGCCCTTGGTCATAGACGAGCCCGTGAACTCTGCAAAGGGTGACTTTGGTCCTGCAGGGTGATGCCTGGGTGGCTGTTACAGAGGGTAGGTGTTCTTCCTGCAGCAGGAAGATCAGCTCCTATGTGCCTCTTCGTACGTATTTCCATAGCTTGTATTCAAAACCTAAGTCAGAGAATAGCACTGCCTGCCCTCCCTATGCCTGGATGGGGCTTAGTCTGTGTGTCTCTGAGTGTTCCTTTTCTTCACCCTTTTACTTAAAAAAAAACTTTTTTAAACTTCCTCTTTGCTTAGAACCGAGGAGGAACAAGAAGAAGCAGTCTTCCGTGAGGTGGTCAGTTTCACCCCAGATCCTCTGCCAGGTGAGAAGGACCGAGGCTCTGAACGCCGTCTCCAACCCACCCCTGGGGCTTCGGGGCAGGCCCGCCCCTTCCTGGTCTCCGTTCTCTCTCTCAGTTATTGTCAGAGCGTCTCTGGTCATCCATCGATTCCTCACTGTTCCCTCGTCTGACCAGCCAGATATTATGACAAGGACACCACCAAACCCATCAGTTTTTACTTATCTTCGCTGGAGGAACTCTTGGCGTGGACGCCCGATGCGGAGGACAGCTTTAACGTGGCCTTGGGGCCCCCCGAGCACCGGCAGCCCCCTCTGAGCAGCCAGAGGCCCCGGACACTGTTGTGCCACGACATGATGGGCGGGTACTTGGACGACAGGTAAGGCTTTGCGGGGACGTCGCCCGACGATACACTTGTTGCATGTTTTCCTTCCGTGGGACGGGAGGGAGGGGGCGGAGGGAGGGCCGCTGTGGCAGAGGCAGCCAGGAGCCCGGGCTCTGGACCAGGCGGCCCTGACTGGACGCGGAGCCCAGGCCTCGCGTGTTGTCTGTAAGAGGCCCCGGGTCAGGCGAGAGCTTGTCTCTCTTGCAGCTCTGAAACCATTTGCTTCGAGGACCGCCTGCCTTTGAGATCCGGCAGGTGGGGCGGACACGCCAGGGAGTCCCCTCTTCGCACCTGCACCTGGCACCTGCCGGGCTGGAGCCCACCCCCTGGGCTCTGACTCCACCCTGGGCCCTTGGCTCTCAGTGTTAGGCTCTGCCCCCCTCCCCGCCGGGTCGCTTCCTCTAGAGTCGCTGGCAGTGCGCTCAGGGGTCTTAAACGTCTGTAAAATACCCTTGGACGGGACGATGGATGGGAAGGCTTGAGTCAGGGCCGGCCACCAAGGGACTGGCGAGGCTGGTGGGGACGTCTCGGGTGCAGCCCGACCTTACGACCTTACGGGCACGGAGGCTGTCCCAGAGGACCCGCTCAGGGACCCGGAGCCTCTGCGCGAGCCCGTCTGCTTCTCCTTCCTTCTGCCTTGTCTTGGTTTCTGGAGGCTGAAAGCACTGAGCCGTCGGGTCCAGGGGGCACTGACTGCACGGCCTGGTGAACACGCTTCCCTTCAGACCTCCCGATCCGAGGACTCAGGTGTCGTCCTGCGTCTCACTGACCGGGACTGAAGAGAAGCTTCCCTTGGGTCCTCGCTGGTCTCTTCCTCCCCGCCCCCCCGCCCCGCCCCGGGGTCCCCGGGCCCTGGTCCTGACCGCTCTGTTCCTCACGCAGGTTTATTCAGGGCTCCGCGGTGCACGACCCTTACTGCTTCTACCACTGGCAGTGTATCGACATCTTTGTGTACTTCAGTCATCACCTGGTGACCATCCCCCCCGTGGGCTGGACCAATGCTGCCCATAGGCACGGGGTCTGCGTGCTGGGTAAGGGCCCAGGGCTTGCCTCCCACCCAGCCAGACTCGTTAGTGCCCCCGCCAGGTGACCCAGAGAGAAAAACGCTAGGCCTTCACTTCTGCAGGAGTGGAGCTGCCTCCGTAGGGGAGGACCGGGCGGAGGCCGACTCCTGGAACCGGCCCGCCGCGGGGTCCCTCTTACAATTGCTAGTGAGACAACGCAGCCACACGTAGCAGGCAGGCAGGAGGGCGTGGCTGTGTTCCTGTGACACCGCATTCATACGGACGCCTCCTGGGGCCTCAGTCGGTTGATCCTCCGGCTCTTGATTTTGGCTCAGGTCACGATCTCCCGGTTTATGAGTTCGAGCCCTGTGTCGGGCTCTGCATTGACAGCGCGGAACCCTCTTGGGATTTTCTCTCTCCCTCTCTACCCCCCACCCCTTTCAAAATAAGTGAATAAACTTAAAAAAACAAAAGCCCTGCATTTATAAAACTAGGTGGTGATTGGATGTGGTGTGTAGGCCACAGGGGGCCAGTCCCTGGGTGGAGTGAGGCTTCTTGAGCGTTCTTCACCTGCGCCTGACACATTTATTGGCTTGTTTGGCACCGGCTCCTGGGACCTGTCCCCGGGCGTTGGATTCCCTAGATGTCCGGGGACAGCCGCGAATTTGGATGTCTGACAAGTCGCAGGCGACGCTGATGTACTGTGGCGGGCCCTGCGCTCTGCCAGCTGCTGGGCTTGCCTGACCCCGTCTCTCTGTGTCCTGGCAGGAACTTTCATCGCCGAGTGGAAGGAAGGTGGGCGGCTTTGTGAGGCCTTTCTAGCCGGGGACAAGAGCTCCTACCAGGCGGTGGCTGACCAGCTCGTCCGGATCGCCCAGTTTTTCCGTTTCGACGGCTGGCTGATAAACATCGAGAGCTCGCTGAGTGTGAGCGCGAGCTTCTCGGGTGCTTGCCCGGCCCTCTGCCACCTCCCTGGGCCCCGCGGGGGCCGTCACGGCAGCTGGGGCCACTGTGCGTCCCAGTTAGAGCTGGTCCCAGGCGTCTCCGTTCCTTCGCAGCGATCACAAGGCGCGGCGTCTGGAAACCTTGGGTGGCCGAGCTCCTTGTTTGGCTCCGTCAAGGAGACCCCTCTCCTCCTCCCCCGGCTGCTTCTGGGCTACGCACGCGCGTGGCTTTCCTTCCCGCCACCCTCCCCTTTATGCCATTTTATCTTTTCTCGGTGTCTGTGTCCGCATCCTTCCTGCCTCAGGAAGGAGAGTTGGAGGACATGTGCCTGGACCCGCCCTTCGGTGGCAGTGGGGGGAGGGGCTCCTGGGACCCGGCTTCCTTGGTGTGTCCCTCCGTTTGCTTCTGGGATTAAGTGTCCCGTGTGTCCCTTGTGGGCACTTCCGACGGACGTCGCTGGGCCTCACCGACGGTCTTCTCTTCTTCCGTCTGCAGGTGGCCGCGGTGGGGAACGTGCCCCATTTCCTCCGGTACCTGAGCGCGCAGCTGCATTGGCAGGTCCCGGGGGGCTTGGTGCTCTGGTACGACAGCGTGGTGAGCAGCGGGCAGGTCAAGTGGCAGGACGAACTCAATGAGCAGAACCGGTGAGCCGGGCGGCCCCCGGGTGGAGGGGCACCAGCAGGTGCAGCGTGTCCCCCGGGGGCCACTGTCCGGAGGGTCCCTGCTCCCTGGGGCAGCCTCCGTCCCGGGTCTGTGGGTTAAGAGGGGAGGCGAGCGTTGGAAGGGGAGGGAGGGGGAGGTCAGCGCGGGCGGCCCCTGTGCCAACGGGTCCCGGCCTCACGGCCAGTCCTCGCCTCCTCCCAGCATCTTCTTCGACTCCTGTGACGGCTTCTTCACCAACTATAACTGGCGGGAAGAGCATCTGGAGCGGATGCTGGTGCAGGCGGGCGAGCGCCGAGCCGACGTGTACGTGGGCGTGGATGTGTTCGCCCGGGGCAACGTGGTCGGAGGCCAGTTCGACACGCACAAGGTGGGGGTGGCCCTCGGGGCTGGGGGGCGGGGGGATAGTGGCCGGCGTGCCTTCTGCGGGCCTGGTTTTCTTGTGGACCTTCCATTCCCATCCGCGCTCGAGGGAACGAGAGGTGACCTTCGTCCCGGAGTGGGGGAAACTGGGGACCGAGAAACACCGGTGACCTGCCCCAAGGCCAGGCTGTGCCCAGAAATCCTGACGTCCGTCCCCTTCTTGTCATCGGGTGGTTCTTCCGTTAGGTGTTAGTGAACAGAAGTGTCATGCGGACCGCCAACCCGTCTGTGACTAGCTTTGACTTCTGTTTGGACTGCACACTCCGAAGGGCACCGAGCTAGCAGTTTAAACCACTGGGGGGTGGGGGGGACCCTGGCACTGAGCTGACGGTCTTCTTCCAGCAGCTCAGGGCTCAGGACCCAGGCAAAACGGCGGTTTGGGGGATTGCCAGCTTAATAACTAGTGAGAGGTTTCTGGCAAGGCAAGTCGCTTCGGCAGTGAGGACGGAGAAGAGGGGTTGCCGGGGCTGACTCCCCTGGTGTGGGATAAACAGGGAGCCGGCTTGTCTCCCAGGCTGTCAATGCTGCCCCGTCCCCAGTGCCCTAGGTACGCTCTTGCTCATTAATTAAGCGCTAAGTGAATAAATTAATCCAATAACCGAAGATCGTCTCCACCCGCTGTGAGTCTGATAACGTGATGACAGGTACAGCGAGGGAGAGGCAGCATGTGAGAGACGCCCCCCCCCCCCCCCCCGCCCCGCAGGCCCCCCTGCTGGCCCAGAGCCTTCCTTCCCGGCGCAGCTGCAGCGACCTCTGCTGGTGGGCCAAGGAGCGACAGGGGGCGCAAGTTAGAAGCCCCCCTTGGCGCTGGGAGGGAGGCCCGCAGCCCCTGACTGCTGTCTCCTCAGTCGCTGGCGCTGATCCGGAAGCACGGGTTCTCAGCTGCTCTCTTTGCACCTGGCTGGGTGTACGAGTGTTTGGAGAGGAGGGATTTCTTCCAGAACCAGGACAAGTAAGTCCTGTCGGGCGGCCCAGGGGCTTAGGGGTGGCCAGGTGGGGGCTCCGGCGATTCCGAGGGCGTCTCCAGCCTTGCTCTCCAGTGACCTTTCCGGGGCCCGCAGGGCCGGGTGAGGGGCTCAGCTCGAGAGAAGTCAGCCGTGTTGGCTGCTTCCAGGCGGGAGGGTCCTGGCGACCCGTCAAGCGGGAAGGATGGAAGTGGGGTCCCTTCCGCGGACCTGCATCTCCCACACACGCAGCAGGGCCGCTGTGGTCACGCTGAGAGGGACACGGGGGCCTGGGGTCGCGGAGGGCGGGTTCAGGCCCCTCTGCACGTCCCTTACAGGTTCTGGGGTTTGCTGGCGCGCTACCTGCCCACACACAGCATCTGTTCTCTGCCCTTCGTCACTTCTTTCTGCCTGGGCATGGGGACCCGGAGGGTGTGCTACGGCCAGGTGCGTGGGGCTCCGGCGGCCTTCTCTCTTCCTCTTCCGTGTCCCCTGGGAGCGGCGGGGGGCTCGGGGCGTGGAGGGATGGTGACGCTGTGCTTCCCCATCACTCTGTGCACTTGGTGCCCCTGGAGCCCCCAGCCCTCCCTCTGCCGTGGCCTTGCCCTGCAGGAGGAGGCCGTGGGGCCCTGGTACCATCCGAGCGCACAGGAGGTCCAGCCCCTGTTTGCCGAGCACAGGCTGGAAGGGGACGGGCAGGGCTGGGTGAGGACGCACTGCTGCCTGGCCGACGCCTGGAACGGGGGCAGCTCCCTGCTCATCCGCGGGGCGATCCCGCCCGAGGTCGGGCACGTGGCTGTGAGGTAGGTGAGTGGGGGTGAGGTCTGTGGGGTTGTCCGCTGCCCCCCACCCCTGTCGGTCACTAAGCCGGGCGGCTGGGCAGCAGCAGCCGGCAGAGGACGGGCAGAACCGGGGTGGATTTTGCTGAGGTGAAAAGCGCGTAAGCCATGGTTCTCCGGTTCAGTGTGTGGTGCGGTAGCGTGATTGGCTGCACAAACCATCCCCGGCACGCTCTCACCCTGCAAGGCTGAACCTGGCCCCACGGCGCGGCTCTCCACCCCCCAGCCTCCACCCTGCTTTCTGTTCCTGAGTCTGACTCTTTCTCATTCCTGTAGAGTTGCAGAACTGGGCTCTTTCGGTCACGGAAGGAAGCAGCCTGGGGGGAGGGGAAGGGGAGGGGGAGGGGTGTCCCCAGCCTCAGGCCCAGCTCCTGAGTCCCGCAGGGACAGGCTGGCGGGCGGGAGCCCCAGCCAGCTGCCGCGACGTCCCTTGTGGGCCCCTCCCACAGGCTCTTCTCCCTGCACGTCTCGGTGCCCCCCAAAATTTTCCTGTCCATGGTGTATAAGCTCGAAGGGTCTTCAGATGTTGGGGTGGCGTTGGAGATCACAACGGGGGACGCGGGCAGCTGCCACATCGGTGGCATCTCGACGTTGAGCGGTGAGGGGACAGGGTTGGCCCCTGCCTCTTGAAGGCATCCTCTGTGGGGGACGCCTCAGGGAAGAGTCTAGAAGGTGCACTGGGGTGGGGGGGCCGGGGGGACGGAGGTGGGCACTTCCCGCCTCTGCTGTGGTCCAGACCCAGACAGGGAGAGTCCCCCGTCAGCCAGAGCCTGTGGCCCACAGCCCCCCGCTGGGCGACACAGCGCACCGTGTGGGACGGGGTCTCTGTTCCCACTGAGACCTAGGGATCAGGCTGCCTGCCAGCCGTGGGGCCTGGGGGGTGGGGGCTCTCCACCCTGTTCTTCCCCTGAGCCCTCAGCCCGTTTTGGCAGGCCCTGGGCACCTGGTGCCACCAGGGAGCCTTCTGGCCAGAGGGCTCCCCTGTTTGGTGCATGCCTCCATATGTGGTTTCCTTTGGATGCCCCTCATCCTCAGGTCCCGGGTCTCTTCCCGCAGCAGAAACGAGCTCAAGGCACAGCCTCCGCCCCCTCCGGGTGCCCCCCACCAAGCTGGCCAGATGGGTGGGCCACTGTGACCGGCAGCTCAGCGGGGGCTGGGTCCAGCGGTGAGTGCCTTTCCTTCCCGTCGCGTTTCCAGCAGGGGATGGCACGTGGGGGGTGGGGGGGGGCCCGAGGGGTCCAGGACGCTGCTGGGGACCATCCTGGTCGCGCCTCACGGCTGGGGTTTCCCGCTGGCCGCAGGGGGACAGATCTCCCTCCCCGACGCGGCTCGGGGCCTCCGAGTGGCCAGCCTGGAAGGCGCCGAGCGAGCTGGGCTCCTCGTGACCGGCCTCTGCTTGCCCCCTCCAGCTGCTACGAGGTGAACCTTCAGGGCTGCGTCCTGCAGGACCTCCTGGTCGGCTTCTCGCGGCCTCCTGGCGGCCAGGAGCAGGAGACCTTTGTCTGCCGCCTGGGAGAGCTCCAGGTGATGCCCGCGCCCCCTGCTCGCGGGCCGCAGGGGTGAGGGTGCCCGCGAGTGGGAGCGCGGGGCGGCGGGCACCCTCGGCCCCCGGGGGCTGAGCCGTCTCCCTCCCGCCAGGTGGTGGACGCCAACAGCCTGCTCAGCCCTCTGCCGCGGGTGCGGGCCGTCGCGGTCTCCCACGTGCGCTGGCAGCGGGCCGCCCCCGAGGAGGGGGGGGAGGGGCCCCCGGCGCGGCTCCAGCTCAGCTGTACTCTGCGCTGGTCCTTCCCCCTGTCTCACGTGCGCTGCTTCCGGACCCACTGCTGCAGAGCGACCGGCTCTGCTGCCGGGGGGCCCCTGGGGCTGGAGAAGCCCGCGCTCCTGGGCCAGGCGTTCGTCAGCCGGTACCGCGTGGTGGACCTGGCGGTGGCAGCCCCGGGGCCCGGCGCCGACGGCCGTGTGGAGTTCCTGGTGGAGCCCGTCCCCAAGGAGGGGTTTCTGGTGCCGCAGGCCGAGTGGGGCAGGGCGGCGCTGCTCTATTCTGGGCCCCACACGTGAGCGAGCATTAAAGCACGGACCCTTCCCGCCTCCAGGCTACGGCTGCTTCTGTGCCGGGGCCCCCGCTGAAGCGCGCCAAGACCACAGGCCCCCCGGGGGGAGGGGGCGACTGCGGCCAGGGGCGCTTGCGAGGTGGACGTTGGCAATGGGAAGCCCGACAGGTCCGTTTGCCGGGTGGACGATTTCCCGAGGTGAAGGGGCTCTGTTCCGTCCGATCTGTAGCATACAGCTCGCAGGTGCAAGGGACAGAACTGGGGGGAGTTAGTCCCATCCGGTCCACGAAGGCGATTTCCTAACAGGCTGAGAGCTGCTTGTGCTCACGGGGCTTGAGAGAGAGGGAGGCAGGTGGTCTGTGAGCAGCCCGAATGCGGTCCCAGCGTGAGGACTGAGGGCTGAGGATGGGGGCGCAGGGGGACCGAGAGTCCTGGGCCAGGCGGGCTGCCCCAGTCCAGACCGGCCCGTGTGTGGCATCTCGGGCCCCGAGTCCTGCCGCGTCTCTCCCCGTCCTGGGTCCTGGGTTGTTGGTCCTGGTGAAGCTTGTACGGAGGGGTCTGTGCGCCTTGGGCAGCCAGAGGCCCCGGGGAGGCCCTCGGCCTGCAGCCCGGCCCAGCCTTGCCGCGGGCGCCCTGGCTGCCCTGGTCCGTCACATCCCCCTGCCTCGGCCTCTGCAGGGTGGGCGGGGCTCAGTTCCCCTGAGAAGTGTTAACACAGGCACTTTGAGGACGCTATTCACTGGCGCCCCTTCCTCTCTCGCCTCCTTCTCTGTCTCTAGCCCCTTCCTTCTGTCTGCCAGCGGCTCTGCGTGGGGAGGAAGAGGAGGGGTGAGGGAGCTGAGTTGCGTCCTCCAGGCACACTGCTCCCCTGTTGAGCCCTAGGCCACTGCGCTGGCTTCCTAGGGGCAGGCTCTCCACCCCGCGGCCTGGGGTGATCCGCTCATTGCCCAGCCTCTCGGGCCTGCGCAGTGTGGTCATTCTCGGGGTCTCAACCCCGGGCTGCATAGGGCCAACGATGGGGGTTACTTGCCCATTTCTCTGCCTCCCCCCCGCGCTGTGAGAGGTGCTAAGGGCCAAGACTGTCGCAGCCAAGGGTTCACGCCTAAGGGATGGCCTCCAGTGAGGCCAAGCCCAGGCTCCACGGACTTGGGTTTACGCTGTAGGGAGGGGAGAGGCCACCAGGGGGCAGTACAGCCACACCGCCTCAGCCCGGGGTTCAGAGAGGGGTCGGCTGGTGGCCTTGGCAAACCCGGCCAGCAGGACAGCAAAGGGGTCTCCTTCCAGGGCTGACGTCTGCCTCCGTCACCACCCTCCCTGCCTTCCCAGGTGCCCACGTGCCCCTTTCCCAGGGAGACAGAGGAGCGTTTCACTCTCCCGAGGCCTAGCCAGCTCAGTCCCCGGTGGGGCGTGGGTTTGCCCAGCAGGGGAGGGGGGGGGTTCACGTGGAACAGGGCGGGGCCTCCGCTGACCCAGGACCCCTGGGTGTCCCTGTGAAGTGGGACACTTCAGCAGACTGGTGGGAAGGACCGGAGCGCGTGCCACTTGGAGCTGCTGTCGGGATCGTGGACTGTTCCCTCCGGCACTTTGAGCCTCTCTTCACTGCTGCCCGGGGAGGTGGGGTGGAGGCTCCTGGCCTTGCTCCCTGCGTCCCCCGAGGCGGGGGTCCCCGGGGCTGGGTGCCCGGGAGCAGGCAGCCCACTGTAACGCCCTGTGCCTCTTCATTCACGAAGCCTGTTTGCTTTTTTTATGTGCCGGTTCCCCCAAATGCTTTATGCAGAGAAGGAGGGAAAATTTATAGTGGCCATTGCCTTCTCACCGGCTGGCGGGCAGGCGGCAAGAAGCGAGGGGGTAGCGGCGCGCGGCGCACGGTGGGACCGGCACCCCCAGATCCCCGGGAGCTCCGTCCCTGTCCTGCAGAGAGCAGAGGCTCGTGGGCAGGAAAATTGATATGTTAGCATTTCAGCCTGTGCCCCTGTGGTGGGCGTAATCGCTCTCAAATAAGTTATCCGACGTGAAACAGGAAGAACTCGGGTCGGTGAGCTGTGTGTGGATGGTGCGCCTTGTTTTGGACTCTGGCCCAGCCCCCCACGCCCAAGGCTTCTCAGCTCTTGATCTGACCTGCGCTTTCCTTCTGGGTTATGCCCCCTCTTCCAGGGGAAGGGGTGAGGGTGGCAGCTGCCCCCCCCCCCAGCCTTCCAGGGGTGGGACCCACCTTGGAGCTCAGGACCAGGGGCCCTTCCCCTCACAGCGGCAGAGCCCGGGGCGTGCTTGGGATCTGAGGCCCTCCCCCCGCGACGCCCCCAGCCCTGTCCCCTCTCCCGCTTGCGCTTGGCTGGCCCCAGCCGGGTGCCTGTGCAGAGTAGCCTCTGCTCCCTGGCAAGGGCCCACGGCGGTGGTCCCCCGTCCCTGAATGTGCCCCTAACTTTACACGCATCACTGCAGCGGGCTCAAGGCAAGGCTCCACGGCTACGCGTCAGCCCCGCCCCCAGCGTGTTCTGGGTCCGGTTGGGAGAGGAGTCCCCAGGATTGGGGCTCTGGGATCTCTGGCCCAGAAAGGCGGTCCAACTCCCCTGTCTGGGGACCCGACCCGGGGCTCCGCCCGGCCCTCCACCCTCTGGGCCCTGCCCGGAGCTGCCACATCAAAAAGCATTGTCCTGGTTTGAAGAAAGAAATCTTTATTAATAATCTTAATAATAATACTGTTGATTTGAATGGTCACACCTCGGAAGCATACAGAATGGTAAGAAAGGAAGCCTGGGGCTCGGCTGCAGTCCTGGGGGGCCGGGGGGGGCGGGGCCGGGGGCGGAGCTGCCGCAAGAAGAGGGTCCGGAGCAGCAGGGGGCTCTGGACGGGAGGGGTGGGGCGGGCGGGGCTCTGTACAACGGGAATAGAAAAGGGGCTCACTTCAGAGCTTGAGGAGCTGATGCTGAATATATAAAGTGAGGTTTTTTTTTTAAATTTAATTTTTTTACGTTTTACGTTTCATGAGACAGTGGAGCCATGTTGGGAGCCTGTGTGTGTTTTTTGCTGTCCCCTACTCCGGCTACCCCTGCCTGGCCAGGGGCTTCCCCCTGCTGCCCAGCGTCTGCTCTCCAGCCACCCTGGGACCTGACCCGGGCGCCGCCCTTCCTCATCCCTCCTCCTCCCTGCTCTGGCCTGGCCGCCCAGCCCCGCGGCACCCGGCTCCGGACCTCAGTGCGGCACCGACTGGCCCGCCCGGCCCGCTGCTCCTCTGCAGGACAGTGGTGGGGAGAGTCGGTCCAGCAGGCGGCCTGAAGCCTGCCTTCCCTCCCGCAGACCAGGCGGGGGGCCACCTGCAGAAAGGGAACAGGACCCGGCCAGAGCCAGAGCGAGTCCTCAGCCCCAAGGCCCTTCCCCCCCCAACGTTCTTAGGTACTGGGAGTGATCCTGCTGCCCGGGAGCCCCCTCACATGGAACAGGGCGGGGGGACCTGGGCGCCCCACAGCTCTAGAGCCGGGTCAGCCCTTCCTTGGTGGTGGGGTCGGACCCCAGGGCTGCTGGTCAGACAGGCTCTGGGGGCCTGCAAACCCCTTCACTGGGATGTGGGCGCTAGCGGCACGGCACGAGTTGGGGAGCTGGGGCCTAGACAGCCGGACGTGAGGGTCACGGGCTGAAGCCAGAGACCCCGGGAATGAGCAACGCCCCCCGCACCCACCCCAGCCCCGCCGTCCCCTCCACTGGCACAGTCGGCAACAAGGTCAAGTCTTGCTGGCTGCTCTCCCCTGCTCAGGCCTGGGGCCTGTCCCTCCTCTGGGCCCCATGTGCCCTGGGAGTGGGGGGCCGGGAAGGAAGACTTGGTAGAAAACGAGGCCCCTTCCCTCCTGCTCTCCCCATCCCGCCGGGCCGCGGCCGGGGAGGGGCGGGGCCCGGGGCGCTCTCCTGGGCACGGCGCCCGCCGGACGTGCTCCCTCGCTGCGGTGTGCGGTGCCACGCGAGACTTGGACGTGGTGGATGCTTCTTGGTTTGGTTGTTTGTTTTTTTTTGTTGCTTGGATCTTAACATCTTTTTTTGTTTTGTTTTTTGTTTTGTGATTTTTTTTTTTTGTTTTTTGTTTTTTTGTTTTTGTTTTTTGATTTTTGTTTTTGCCCTTCATGGTCCAAGAAGGAAACGGTGGAAGCTTTCACTACAACAGAAACAGAAAGGCAGGACTTGCAGTTTCACAGAAGCAACTGCCAGGCTTGTCGGGAGGATGGGACAGGCCCCGGCGGCCACGTGGGGCGCAGGGCGGGGGGAGGGAGCCAGGCCCCGGGCCCTAAGGTCCTAGCACCTCCCCCCCCCCCCCCCCCCCGCCGCTGCAGCCTGTCCCCCCCACCCCAGCTTTCGGGAACCCACCGTCTTGCACAAGCTGAATTTAAAGCAGACCTCATTCTCCAGGGCAGAGAGTATGGACTGGGGGGGGGGGGGCGAGGGGGGAGAAGTGAGGGCATCAAGAGCAGTGAGCACAGAGGGGACCGGCTGGCACAGAGGGGACTGGCTGGCACACACAACCTGTGGGCTCTGCGAGGGCTGAGCTGGGCAGGGCCCTGGCTGGCTCCGGCTGGCTGAAGACAGGGGCGTGGTGGGTGGGTGGCCACGAGGGGCCTGGAACCAGGTGGCTGAGGAGGTGGTGCTCCAGGCAATGGGGAGGGAGGGCCCGGCACCCAGGGCGTGATCTGCCCGCTCCACCAGCCGGAACCCGGCGTGCCCTGGCTGGCAGGGAACCCACACCCTCTAGCTGGCTGCGCCCGGAAGCCCAACTTTGGCCCGTTAGGGGACCTGGGCGTCCTCGGCCGCGGATACCTCCTCCCGTAGCAGAGGCAGGTTCTCACCGTGCAGCCTTCCCCGGAAGCTACCCGGGCTGTCCCAGGATTACCAGCAGGCCCCAGCCAGGTCTCCTCCCGCGCAGCCCTGGGACCCTCTACAGGGGAGGCTGGCACCGAGTGCTGTTTGGCCAGGAAGGCCGGCCATGGGGCTCCCCCGGCTCCTCACCTGCTTGCCCCTTCTGAATTGCACCCTGATAAGAAGAGGTTTCCAAGCCCGAGAGAGGGGAAGGGTGCCGTGGCTCAAATACTAACACAGGTGCCAGGCTGGCCGGGACCCTAAGTGCGGCGGCACGAAGGCGCCATCCTGGGAGCCTGGCGGAGTGGGGTGGGGGCTGGGAGAGCCTGCCACCAGAGGCTACTGCAGGCGGGCTGAGGGCGAACCCTTGGGCCCTGCAGGGTGGATGGCTTTGTGTGTGGGGGATGGGGGGCAGGGGTGGGTGCAGGGGAATCTCTGCCTAGATTCTCCTGTCTTACAACAGAGGCTAAGCAGCCCCAAGGCTGGTGTGGCCGTGGCACCATGTGCTTGTGGCTGCTGTGGCAGGAAACATCCTCAAACTTAGAAATGTTAGTTTCCGCTGGCTGGGGGTGAGGAGGGCAGAGGTGGCCACGCCTGTGACTAGCTGAAGGTGGGAAGGGGGCACTGTCCCTGTATCCACTGGACGGGAGCTCCTCCTCCCTCCCTGAACCCCAGGAGAGGGGCAGTGGCTGTGGCCCCTACTGGCTTGGGGGGGCTCTCCAGTGGCTCTCCTGTGGCTCTGCAGACCCAGGGGATGATGGGAAGTGGGTGTCGCCCTGGCGGGCTCTATTGCTAGTTCTGGGGGGGGCGGTCCTCGTCCCCGGCCTGGCCCCTCCCACTATGTGCATACCGTACCTGAAATGGCTGGGGGGGTCACAACGTCAACAAAGTCAAAATAGGAAGCAAGGTTTCAGACATACAGGGATAACCAAGGTCAAAGACACACACGCCATGGTGAGGGGCAGGGACACCGGCTGGCTGGAGGTAAAACCTATGGACTTTAGCGTCGCGTGCCGCTGCCTGGGGGGGGCACACTGTCCTCCCGGTGGCTGTGCCTGGTTTTGGACTGCTGGGTGTGGTGTGTACTGGGCAGTCAGTGTGAATGCTGCTAGGGGCTGGGCCCTCTTGCTAGTAGGGGGTGAAGCGGCTGTACCCTCCTCGGCAGAGGCTAGCCTGCAACATCAAAGATGACAAACAGCCAATCAGTACCGCCTCGTGGTAGGGGGGGAAAAAGCAAAAAGGAAAAAAAAAAAAAAGGAAAACCAAAAAGAAATTGCTAAGTCCCATTTTGTAAGGTTTGCCTTGGGGAGAGCGGGTACCAGTGACCACGGCAGCAGGGGGGCCTGGGGGCCAGGGGCCTGCTGAGGTCATCAGCCACAGCACTCCCGGACGGTAAGGTTTGAGACGACTGGGGCACTCTCTAGGCTCAGGCCTGGCCCTTCCCCGGCCCCTCTCTCTCTCATGGGTGGGGCGAGGTCTGAGCGAGGGCCCCACCTCCTCAACATCCCGCGGGGGCTCTGGAGGATGGACTTCCTCTGTCAGGGGTCCCTAGGCCTTGGTTCCACCAGGAGAGGCTGTGGCTGCCTGCCCAGCTCCTCCGAGCCTTAGGGGGTCCCTGGGGTCCTTGCTCTTCCCCCAGGGCCTCGCCTGGGCCTGGCCCTGCGTCCCGCTGAGGAGGACGGGCCCTCGATGCTCTTGCTCCCCGTGTCCCTGGGCTGCGCTGGCTCAGGGAGGTCTTCACCAGAACCTCCTTCCCACCAACCAACTTCAACAGAAGATGGAAGCGGCAAGTGCCAGAGAGGAAAAATCGGGGGTGGGGGGGTGGGGAGAAAATCTTACAAGCAAAAATGAGAACAAGAGGGGCCTGTCTGTGAATCAACGAAAGCTTTTAGCCAGCAGCTGCATGGGGGGCCCCCTGAGCTGAGCCTGGAGCAGATGGGCCCACAGACCGCACTTTTGGGGCCTCTGACCCGGAAGGGGCCGGCCCCCAAGAGGCCTCTGCTGCCCCCTGTGGCCACTAGCCATCACTGCAGGCTGCCTGGGATGCCGGGAACTTGTTAAAAATCAAAAAAGACAAAACAAAAATGGGGAGGGAGAATCAAAACCAAGGGAGATGGAAGAACGTATCCATATTGGCTCTGAACCTCTTCCCTCCTTACCCCCCAGAAAATGTGTTCATCTTTGATGCTGGATGCCAAGCTAGCTAAAAACTGACATCAATGGGGGGGGGGGGGGGGGGGGGGGGGGGGGTGGGTGGGCACAGGAGGCAGGTGTCCCCTGGAAGCAGGTCTCGGGGTACAGAGTGAGCTGGGCTGCATGTGTCGACAGCTGGCCATACACACACACACACACAGACACACTGGCCTGCACGCCTCTGGCTGCTGCGAGCTGGCTGGGAATGCGCGGGGTGGGGGTAGGGGGTGGCTGCAGAGACAGCTGACCCCAGAGCCGCCGACCGGTCTGGATGGGAAGTGAGGGGCAGCCCCTGTCCCTCTTCTTGACGTGAGGAAAAGCACAGGGACAGGACACAGGGGGACGGTGGCCGACACACCCCCACGGGCCTCTGGAGCCTCAGAAGCCTGGGCAGAGTGGGTGGATGAGGGGCCAGATGTCCTTCCTGGACCTGCCTCCCTCAAAGTCCCCGGGGGGGCGGGGGGACGAAGGGGCAAGTCCTCCCCCAGACTCTAGTCCAGGCCTTGCTCTTCCCAGGCGCTGCTCAGAGGTCTGGGTCCCTGTCTCGGGGCCCGCCCACCCCAGCCTTGTCACGGCCAGCCCCCTGCTCCTTACCATGGTTCCGATGCTGTAGGTCGCCGGGGGGCCGATGGTGTGGTGGTAGGGGTCAGTGGCCGCATAGACTCTGCCGTAACTGGGGAGACGAGCACAGGGAGAGAGGTGTGGGGGACGGTGGGGGGCAGGTGAGGGTGGCAGCGGGCCCACCTCCTCCTCCAGTGTGGTCCCATGGGCCAGGCCCTCCTCCCTCCCCACCGTCCTTCCTGCCTGTTGAGAAGGAAGCGCCCGGAACGCAGGCTGTTCTACCAGGGGCCTCGTGGAAGGAGAATGGAGTCCTCGCAGAGCAGGGGTGGAGGGAAAAGAAACCTCCACCCCTGGGAATAACAAGGGCAGAGTGCTCAGCGCAGAAAGGCTCAGAGCAGGGAGGAAGAACGTGGCGGGCTGTGGCCCCGCGGCCCCCTGATGGCCTTCCTCTCTACTTGATTCTGTACGTGAAATGCCAGCCTCTTCTAGGACAGGGCTGGGCCGAAGGGCCTGCTGTGCACCCGACAAGGCCCACACGTGAGACGCAGCGAGAAGCTTCGAGGGACGGGTGGGTCCCTGGTGCTGCCCGGGAGGGAAGGTCAGGGGGTCCCCAGGCTGGAACCCACCCTGTGCATGCCAGGCATGGGGGTTCCCACACTCGTCTAAGCAGGAACTCTGTGGCCAAAGGGCCATAGGCCTCCCTGGGGGAACTGCCCCCAAAACACAGAGCCACCCCCAGCCCCTGGGCATGCTTGCTGCTGGGCAGAGGGCTGGCTGCTCTCAGATGGGCACACTGCCCCCCTGGTCTCGCCACAGCCCCTGGGAGGTGGGCATGCTGCTGCCCTTCCTTCTCTGAGCTAAAGGGTCTCAGATGAGGAAGCCCCGAGAAGGATCAGAGGCTTGCTCAAGGGCAGAGGCACAGCCTCCTATTGCCCTTCTCACTCGGGGGGCCTCCAGAGCTCAGGGAGGGGGCCAGGCCTCCCGGGTTGGGAATCAAAGGAGAACTGGGGGGCTCCACAGCCTCCCCCGTCGTGCCAGCAGGAAGGGACTAAAGAAATCGGGGGGCCTAGCTGGTTCAGGGGTCTCGGACCTGCTCTCCTCTGTCCAGATTCTGTGCCACCGGGGGGAAGGCTGCCCCAGGCCCGCAAAGTGGCTAAGTCTTCCCGTCTGTCTGAGCCCAGCCCTACAGGGACCCTGTTACCCTCTGCCTGTCTTCACCCCGACCCCGGCCATACCTGTCGCTATAGGCTGCCGCTGCCGCTGCAGGCTGAGCGTATCTGTAGGCTGCATAGCCCCCCTGCAGGGTAAGGGGGAGGGAGAGACAGCACAGAGGCTTAGTGGGGCTGACACAGCCTTTCAACCTTCACCTTTCAGCCGGGTGAAGACTGGCTGGTGCAGGCCTGTTCACTCCGACCCCGTTCAACACACTGGTGGGCACCAATTATGTGTCCGGCTGTGATCATGGCTTTGCCACCTGTTAAGTGCCCACAGACCTGCCAATGGTCTGTGCGCCCCTGACTTTGATGCCCGTGGGCATGGAGAACCCGTGGATGACTGGGTGCCATCCTAGATACTGGGAAAGGTCAAGGGTGAAAACTCAGATCACGTCTCGGCCCTGGCACAAAGGGACTGTGGGCCTGCGGGCGAATGCCCAGGACAGAAGCGAGGCCTCGTGCTGGGCCGGGCATGGGTGTGGGATGGGGCTGGCAGCTGGGGCTCTGGGCTAGAGGCGCAGCACGGGCATCCCCATGAAGGGAGAGAGAAGCCGCAGGAGCCCACCAAGGGGTCCGCCCTGGAGCCCCTGCCCCCTGGTCTCTCTCTGGGCCTCTTTATGGGACATGGGGTAACCACGGGGGCTCACTCAGTGGCCCCAATGCAGTTAGGGATATGGGAGACTCGCCCCTGCCCCCATCATCCAACGCCCTGGGGACTGGAGAAGACGTGAACACAGACAAGCCAGGCTCCGCTGTGCCGAGGTTCCCAGGGACCCAGTGCCCTGGCACTCTCACCCTCTGGGGTTCCCAGGATGCAGTGGGAGGGGGTGGGGGAGGGGAAGACCCTGGAAATCAGCGAAGGCCTAGACAAACCCCCACCCACCCTCCCCCAGGGCCGCACTTACATAAATCTCAGCACCGTAAAAGCCGTCCTGATACACGACCCTGGAAGCAAACGGACAAGAGAGTGGTGGGCAGGCCGGCTCCGGTGTCTGCTGAGGAGGGAGCGGGCAGGGTGCCAGCCCTGCCCATGGGACTGGCATTTTAACAAGCGTTTGCTCCAGTGCCCTGTTTTGGTATAACAATAGAGTAACACCCTTGCTGGTCGGCTCCTCTCTCCCACAAAGCCAGGGGCCCCGCGGCCCCTGGTGCTTACCCTCCCCCCACCCCCAGCCCAGGCAGCTGTCCCCACGTGCGGGCAGAGGGCACTGGGCCCAGGGAGGGCTTCGAGCAGACCCTCGCTGACCTCAAGGGCCAGCCACCATCCCGTTAAACGCACTGGCAAGGTGCTGGGGCTCTGTCCCCCAAATGCCAGCGACCCTTGCCCATGGCAGGGTGGGGTTGGGGTACTGATAGGAGGCGACTGCAGTGCAGAAGTCTGGGGATTCCCCCCCCCCACCTTCCCGCAGTTCTGGAAAGGCTGCCTAGCCCCTCCAGCTGCCCAGGGCCTCCCTCCCCACGCCCCCCCGGGGCCTCCCCCCATGCCTCCCTCCCAGTGCCTCCCCAGGTACTCACGCTCCATAAGTTGGGATGGGGGGAGGGGGTGGCGCAGCCCGAAACGTATTATACACTGCCCGGCCCCGACCCCGTAGGTGCGCGCCCCGGTAGGCCACGGCCGTGCCCGTGGTGGGGTAGGGGAACCCCGTCACTGCAGGAAAGGGGGCCAGAGAACACGTGGTGAGAGGGAAGGCCAGGGAGCCTGACGTCAGCCCAGCACCGCCCAACCACGACCCCGCCTGGCCACACCCACTGCCCCGCCTGGCCACACCCACTGCCCCGCCTGGCCACACCCACGCCCCGCCTGGCCACACCCCCACCGGCCAGGCCCCGCCCCTCGCACCCAGAATGACCGCGGCAGCCATACCTGCATAGAATTCAGGCCCGTAGACTGCGCCTACCACGGGATTTAGCTTCCAGCCTAGGAGAGAAGCAGAGAAACCCAGTCACCGGTTCCCGCATTTTCTCCCCACCTCACCCTACCCTGGGGACCTCCTGCCCAAGGCGTGGCCTCTGCAGACCAGCCGGCGGGACCACCTCCGTCTCCGGTCGGGCCGGTGGAGCTGGCCTGCGGGGAGCCTGCAGCCTCACCGGCTCTGACCTGCGCCCCAGCCCGCCCCTGGGCCCGCCCTGCCCGGGGCACCAGCTCCAGCAGCCTGGAGCCTGCAGTCTCCGCAGGAGGGAGTCCGGGAGGGAAAGAACACTCCTGTAAATGTCTGCAGGCCCACAGCCGGGACCAGGGTGCTTCCGCACAGGATGGAGCCCAATCATAGAAGCGTGAACTCCGGTGGGAGCCAGACTGCCTTCCAGGAAGGCCGGAGGCCGCCGTGAGGGGCCTGGCTTCTGCCACGGCCTCCCCGTCCTAAAACCTCTGTCCCGGGGTGGAGCTCTCCCCCACGGCTGAGTCCTGCCCCGGCCAGCCTCCGTCTGCCTTTCCCCAGAGCAGCCAGGGGGAAGGGCTTCCTGAGAAGCAGGGGCCTCTGGATGGTAGGTACTAATGACGACGAACGTTTCCTGAGCACCTCACCATGGGCCCCGCTGTTCTAAACCCACCCAAGGGAGGTGGTGTCACACCCTCCCATTTTACAGATGAGCAAGCGGAGGCTCAGGGAGGTGTGGCAGCCTCACATCCCAGAGCCGGAGAGTGGCAGAGCCACATCCAAACCGAGCCCACATTCCTGGCCATTCCCTGGCCCCCAGCTGTACCCTGCACCCGCCTGTCCCTCTCTGCCTGTGGCCTGGCTCAGGGCCCTGTGCTTCTACACCAGTCTCCCTCTCCCACCAGGGACCCACGTGCAGGAGTGAAGCCTGTTTGCATCGGAGGGTCTGAGGGGTGGACGCCAGCCAGCTTGGAGTGGGCTCTGGCTCCAGGTGCTGGCTCAGATAGCACGGGCACAGGATGGTGTATTTGACCAAGCCCAGGCCCTGACCCCCGCAGTGTACCTGCTCGTATCTCTGCGGTATGGCCTGAAAGCCCAGCTCCACATCCCTCCTGCTTTGTGAGGAGGGACAGAAGGGACTTGCACCCACAGGCCAGCTAGCCAGACATCTCTGGAGAGCACGGCAGAGGACGAGACCAGGCCATCAGTGTCAGCCCCTACCTGCGAGCCTCCAACCCAGATTCTAACATCCCCACTGCCGGGCAGGTGGCTGGGGGGCCTACAGAACAGTGACTTGGGTCTGGTGCCTCCCAGCCGTTCCCTCCCAGGTCCACCATCGCCCGACCAGCACGCACGATCTATGGAGAAGACTCCAGAATCTTATCCAAATCCCAGGTCGGGAGGGAAACAATGTTTCATCTCCTAGAAAGAACTCCAGTCCCAAGAATTGAGTCTTCTTAGGAAAAGCTGCGATGGAGCAGAGTCTCGGAGCCAGTGGCCTAAGCCCGCTCCCCCGCCGGGGCTCCATCCCTGTGGCTCCCGTGGGACCACCAGTTCTGAGATCCTGGGAACTTATTCTGCTACTCTGGCTTCCTGATGCCTCTCCCTGTCGCTGCTGGGCCCATTTCACTGTCTGGGAGCCCAGGTGACGGAGGCAGCCTGAGATGCACCTGGAGGCTCCTCTGCTTTATCTGTACATAGTCTTAACGCCTGGTCAAACCTGGGGAGTTTGGTTCCTACGGCAGACACTTCAGCCCCCTCCCCCACGGCCGATGAATTTCCGAATTCGATGAATTCTCTGGAGTGTGGAAGCAAAGTCCAGCCACATGCCCACACCGCCAGAGCCCACGTGCTGGGCTTGTGTCAACCCACGGAGGAGCTGGGGCCGGCCGACCGCAGCCCGTGTCCTTCCTGCTCGGGCCAGCGAGGACGCTTAGGTCACACCTTGGCAGTGAGCACTGCGCCGTTCCCGGTCACGTGACCACCGTTGGTTCCGGGCCCTTCCTGGGCTAGGAATGTGGTCACTCAGGCTCTGGATTCCACGCTTCCCGAAGCCCCGGCTCTGGCTGGAGAGCAGGGGTGTGGCTCTCAGGTGAAGGGGGCGGCTGGCTCCTGACGATCGTCCTGACCTTCCAGACATGTCCACCACTTTGCCTTACTGTGTGTGCCAAGCACTCCGCAGGAGCTTGGGCCACGGGCCACGCTGGTGTCCCAAATTTTTTTAAAAAACGTGAGCTTTGATAGTCCTCAAAAGAGCAGGGTGGGAGCCATAATGTAGTGTAAATGTGGCTCAGCTGGACTCCTGCCTTGTTCTGAGAGGGCACCTGGGGAGGCCCTGCTGGCGGGTTGCCACGGGTCAGCGCCCTGTCTCTTGCTGACCTGTCACCTGACTCCATGGGTGGCCCATCTCCTAGGGACAAGAGCACTGGGGGGTGGCTTGGTCACCCTGCCCCTGCTGGGGGGTGAGACGCCAGGCCCTCCTCCCCGCGCTCAGGGAGACTCATCCTGACAGTGGGCGGCGCCGCCACTCGCCGGCTCAGGGACGAAGTCGAACAGGCACCAGTTCTGCCAGCCACGCTCAAACCAGTCCGCGTGGCCCGCGGGGTGAAGACACGTGGCTGTGAGGGCCACCCCTCCCCTCGGCCTCGGTGGCTCTGTCTTCAGGGAAGACTGGCTGCTTCTGCTTAGGGCCAGGTGTGTGTGCGCGCACGAGAGCAGTCATCTGAAGCACATTACGTGCCCACAAGGCTCCCCTTGGGGAGTTCCCTTGGGGACACCTGTGTCCCCAAGCCTGGAGAACTATCCTAATTATCATCACCTTCCCTCAACAGGGAGCGCCTCTAGCCCAGGCCCTGCCTCACTGCTTAGCAAGTAAGTAATAATCCGGGACGTGGCCACCGCCCTCTGCGCCCGGGGCCTGTCCTGGGGCATCTGGGTGCCTTGCTTGGGAAGGCCCAGGTGTCCAGCCCCAGCTTTCCTCCTGCATCGGCCCATCCGCCCCCTTCTGACCCGGCAGAGCTGGGACACCAGGGGGCGCTCAGCATCCAGGGCGGCCCTGGGCCCCTTACCGTTAGTGTAGGGGTTCGCGGTCTTCTTGTTGGTCATGACGCGGGCTGTGGCGTTATTGACCTGCCCGGAAAGAAGGAAGGAGAAGGTGAGGTGAGCGGGGCGCCCCAGTCCTGCTCTGCGCCGCTCCCGCATGGCCGCACCGAGGGGGCGAGGGGCCCTAGGAGGAAGGCCGGGGCCGGCGTCCGTGGCCAGCCTGGCCCCACGCCCTGGCCTGCCCTCCTCCCGGGCCCCCTTCCCCACCGTGCCGCCCCCACTCCAGCGAGCCCGGGCCACCACTGCGCCCAGCGCGGGCCCGGCTGGCTTGCCTTCCACACGCCGTTCCCGCAAACCAAGCCCCAGCCTCTCTCTCTGGCGACCCAGGGCCACTGGAGAAGCTGGCTGGTGGACTCTCCACAAAGTGCTCTCAGCCCGACTAACTGACCGGCCCCCAAGACATTCTGTGTCCTCGGTGGCTGCCAGGGCCTTCCCAGTCATGGGCACCCCTCTTGTGGGGGGAGGCGCCCCATTCCCCTGCGGCCAGCAGAGTTCTCTATGGGAGACGTGTGCCCCTTGGGAGAGGGGGCAGGCGGGCGCCGAGGGGGCGGGTCCTGTCTCCAGGCTTCTGAGCCCCTGCAGGGGCCAGACTGGGGTGTGGGGAGGGCGGGGCTCGGCCGCTGTGGAAGCAGGTAGAGAACAGGGCACGTGGTGGAACTCAAGAGAGGAGGGGGGGGCACACTGCCTCCCCCACGACCAGTGTGAGCCCCTGGGCCTGGGCCTGCACCCTCGGGTGCCCACCGGGCGCTGAACCAGAGACTGGCAGAGGTCGGCGCCTCAAGTACCTGCTGCTTCTGGAACCCTCCCCGCCAGGCCCTGCCAGCTCTCTTCCCACGGACTCGGCGCTTGCTGCGGACCCCTCCCCTCTGGCTGCCCCTCGCTGCCCCGCCTGTCCAGGCGCCCAGCTCCTAGGCCGCAGCACTTCGGGAGGGGATGGGCAGCCCACCGGGGAAGGGGGAAGGGGGTGCCGAAGGGGACCCGTGGTCCCCTCTCTCTGCTCCTCCTCTGGGCTAGGTCCCTTTCCAGCCCTGGCAGCTGGGGACAGGGAGGACAGGGGACAGCTGCTTCTCCCGGGAGGGAGGGGCGGGGGGTTAAGAGCACCTCCCAACTGGGGGACGGACTAGGCTGCTGTGGTGCTTGGAGCCGGCCAGCCCCAAACGTGCTATTCTGGGGGGCTTCTCCCAGTGTCCGGCTGACTCCCCGAGTTGGGGGGCCTCTTCCAGAAACCAGAGTGAGGGGGCCCTTGGGTGGGCCTGAAGTGTAGGCCCAGGAGGGGTAGCAGGAGGGGGGCTGGGCTCTGCCCCCTCCGCCCCGCCCCGTCTCCCGGCCCTGGGGACCCTGGCCTGGCTCTCCACAGGGTGGCCGCAGGGCTGGGGTGGGGGATCTGGGTGACAGTTCTCGAGGGCGCGCCCTGCACAGCACACTTATCTGAGCACCTCAATTTTCCGTCCCTCTACGATCGTCCCATTCAGCTTCTCCCGGGCTCGGTCAGCATCTGAGCTAGTTTCAAAAGTTACAAACCCAAAACCCTGTGAGCGGAGAAGGACAGACACGGAGAGAAAGGATGAGAGAAAGGAAAAAAAAAAGGAGGAGTGGGGAGGGGGAGAGGGGAGTGGAGAGGGGGAGGGGAGAGGGGGGAGGGAGAGAGAGAGAGAGAGAGGGACTGAGTCAGGTGAGTTGAAGGAGAGGTCGGCAGCCCGGAGGTCAGTTCTGGTACCGCCAGGATGCCCAGGAGGGGACGGCCCCAGGCGGGGACAGCTGCTGGCCTGGCCTGAGCCCGGCCCCAGCTGACCGCCTGGCGCCTCCGAGAGGACAGGCCAAAGCCGTGAAAAAGATGCTAACCTGGCCAGGGGCCAGGACTGTCACCCTAATGCCACCTGGTGGGGGCAAGGCCGGGTTTCAGGGCCTCCTGGGGGCAGCCCCCCCCTCCCGTCCCCCTAGGAGCCTGGATGGGGGTCTTCCCTTCCCTGATCAGGGAGCAGGGCCTGTCTTGGCCCACAAGCCTCCCGGCCAGCTCCCAGGCAGGCCAGCGGCCCCCTGGAGGGGCGGCTAGGCGGGTGGGGCCCCGGGGCTCAGCGGGAGGCGCGGACAGAGAGGTCCTGGCAGCTCAGAGAGAAAGCATCGCAGCTGCAGCAACAACACAGACAGCAGGGTGGGGGGCGGGGGAGGAGCGGGGAGTACAAGCACCGGTGTAGCTCAGGGGTCCTCGGGCTCGAAGCTCTCCAGGAAGGAAACGCACATTTCACACGTTAGCCTGGCGGGACCTACAGCCGGCGCTGTAATGGTGGCGGCCTCTGGGCGGCACCCACCTTGGAGCCCCGCTCGTTAAAAATGATCTCCACGTCTAAAATTTTTCCGAATTGCTGCAGAGACAGAGAGGGGTGGGTGGGGAGACAGGGGATGTGGGTTAAGACTGCCGGCCGCACGCCTGCTTCTCAGGAGACCCTTGCCTGCTGCCCAGGTCTGGCCCCAGGCCCTCCCCCACCACCCCCATGCCCCAGCCTCCTGCAGGGAGTAGAAGGGGCTCTTGGCTAGCATGGTGGGGGGACCGGAGACCCCTCCCCATATTCTCATGGAGAGCGCTTCCCCCGCCTGTCTGAGAGCCGCGTGGGGGCTGAGGACTGGGAAAGGGTGCAGCCGGAGTCCCTCTCCTCTCCCTGCCTGGACTCTGCCCCAAGTTACTGTCAGCCACCTCTAACTCATACTAAAGGGTAAAGGGCTACAGATAGGTCCTTCCCAAAAGGTAATGAGCCGGAGTCCTCAGAAGAGACAAAGCACCATGGAGGGATGCTGCCAGCGGCCTGTGCTGTTTGGGGCTGGGCTGTGTGGGGTGCAGGACAGAACTGGCCCCAGACTCCTCTACTTGACTAGGACATACTGGCCAGGCAGGCCCAGATGCTCTGGCTGACCCCTCCTGCCCCATCACCGGCCAGATCCACCCCCGGGGCCGCCCTGCCTCTCACTGTCACATGAGACCACGAACCTGTGAAGCCAAATCCCTGAAACCAGGTCCCGAGAGGCCTGGCCGAGGCCTCCAGTGCATGTAAGCGATGGGCTTCCCCTCGTCCCACACAGGGAGGAGGGTGTCAAGGGAGCAGGACAGCCATGCAATCCCAGCTCTGACGAGGGCTGAAACAGGGAGGGCGGTGCCTGTTCTCGTGCGGGGACAGGGGAGCTGACATCCTGGTGCAGGGACAGGGGAGCTGACGCCCCGGTGAAGGGACAGGTGAGCTGACGCCCCGGTGAGGGGACAGGTGAGCTGACATCCTGGTGAGAGGACAGGTGAGCTGATGCCCCGGTGAGGGGACATGGGAGCAGACGCCCCGGTGAGGGGACAGGGGAACAGATGCTCCAGGGAGGGGACAGGTGAGCTGACATCCTGGTGCGGGGACAGGGAACAGGTGAGCTGATGCTCTGGTGAGGGGACAGGGGACAGGTGAGCTGATACTCTGGTGCGGGGACAGGGGACAGGTGAGCTGACATCCTGGTGAGGGGACAGGTGAGCTGATGCTCTGGTGCGGGGACAGGGGAGCTGACATCCTAGTGAGGGGACAGGTGAGCTGACATCCTGGTGAGGGGACAGGTGAGCTGATGCTCTGGTGCGGGGACAGGGGAGCTGACATCCTGGTGAGGGGACAGGCGAGCTGATGCCAGTAGGTGTCTGTTGTATGGGGAAGAGGGATGGGACATGAACTGGGGACTGAGATCAGGACTAGCTCTGAATGATGGCAGCTGTAACTGGGGGCCCCGGGCTCAAAGAGGTTGGCAGCTGCCAGGGTCCAGGCCGAGCGGGGCAGAATCCTGATGATTCCACATCCCAGCAGCCCCTCCCTGTGTCTAAGCCCCAAATCCGATGGGGGGTGGCCTCCAAGAAGGGGAGTGGCTAGTGGGGGCAAGGCGTGGGTGCCAGGTCCACCCTGAGGCCACCCTCAGGGCACCTTCCCTTTGACAAGTCCCATCGGGGTCGGGGGCTGGGGTTTGGGGGCCAGGGCCTGCCTGGCTTGTGGCAGGGGTGGGGGTGGGCACAGTGCCGTTGGCAGGGAAGAGGGTTTGGGAGGAGGGGGGAGGCGCGGGAAGAAATGCGGGCCAGGCGCCCGCTGTGTCGTGGCTGCGCTGTTCTGGGGTGCATGGCCTGGCTGGTGCCCGCCCACGTGCCCGCCCACTCACCCGCCAGGCACCCGGGCACCTGGTGGGCTCCGCACCTGCGTGGCGCTCAAGTCAAGTGGCCCAACAAAGTGACCACGAGACAGAAGGGCCGCCCTGCTCGTTGTGAGACACTGGCTGAAATCCTAAAGCCCCGGGTCTAGGAACCATCTGGGAGAATCCAGAAGGAAAGGGGTGCGTGCTTGCTTCCCAGGGTTTGAGCGTCTGTCCAGAGCCCCAAGGACACAGGCCCAGAGAGGGTGAGTGCTCAGCCCGCAGGTGCACAGGAGAGGGAAGGCTGGACGGCTGCTGGGCCTCGTGAGGCCAGGAGCCCGAGCTGCCCCTCCCGATGCCCTCTGGGGGCACCAGGGTCCTGGGAGCCCATCACGCCGCTGCAGAGCAATAACCTAGCTGCCGCCGCCGCAGCCCCAGGGGCTTCTGAGGACAGGGGTGCGATGTGCTGGGCGGGTGTCTGGCTGCCACTCCTCCTCCTTTCCACCCTGCAGGCTTAGGTCAGAGCCGGGCTGTACCCAGGGGGCACTCACCCCGAACATTTGCCGCAGGTCGGGGTCCCTGAACCGGAAGGGGATGTTGGAGACGTGTAGCCGCTTGGGCTGTTGCTTCTCTGTGTGGTCGGAGGGGTGGAGCGGCTGGCTGTCCGTCTGTGCCGCCTCGTCTGTCTGCTGCGGGGACAGGACCCGGGCTGTGAGCTACCCCTGTCAGCCCCCGTCCTGTGGGGGAGGAGGCTCCAAAGGCCAGACCCTCCAACTCCCTGGGCCTCCCCATCGTGGGGCTGGGGTCCACAGGGGGCTGGGCAGGCGGTTCTCACTAGGTACGGCACACACGGCGGCACCCTGACCTCCGAGGCCCCGCCTCCAGGTCTCTGCACGTGGCCGTGGCCGACACCACCGGGGTCGCCTCCCTAGCTGGGTGTGCTGCCCATGGCTTGGCTCAGCCCTGTGCACAGAGGTCTGACCTTAACGGTCCCTTGGCTGCACCGACTCATGACTCAAAGTCACGGGTTTGCCCTTAGCCTCACTCACACAACCCAGGTTCTGGGAGCTTGGGGGCCTTTCCGGCTTTCTGGGCCTGATGAGAAGGTACAGAGATCTCAGGGCCCTCCCCCAGGCACACCTGTCCGTGAGGTGCTGCCCCTCATCCCAGCCCCTCTGCCGCTCAGCACCTGGACCCTCAGCTGCAGGGACAGGCCACCGGCGCACCAGCAGCCTGCCCTCAGCCTGGTTCTGTCCCTGCGGAAGCGCAGAGCTGACAGCATCGACGGGGCCCCACCGACATGGGCCTGGTGGCCGAGTACGTGACGGGCCAGGGTGCCCTGCCGTGGGGGCGCTCACGGTGACACGCCAGCACCGCCAGCCCTGAGTCTCACTGTGGCTCAGCTTCCTGGCAAGGCACGTGGGAGTGTTAGCGTCCAGGAGCTGCCGTCAGCCGGTGACAGACACGGTGGGTGGGTCCCCAGGTCCCCGGCCGGGATGCCAAGGCTTTCTTGGGGTCATGTCGCTAGCACTCTGCTGGCCTTGCGTCCTTGTCCGGGGTCTGCCCCTCACACGGGACCCCGGCTGGAGGCATGAGGGGCGCCCTGGGGCCCACAGAGCCACCCTGAGCTCTTCTGATGTGTCCGGAGGGGGCGGAGGCAGAGGGTCCCCCGAGGCCCACGCTGGAGTTCGTAAGGGTGGAGGTGCTGGGGGTCATGTCCTCCCCCCCGGCAGAGGGACGGAGGAGCAGCTGACAGCGATGGTGGTCGGAGTGCAGAGACCCCAGGCATGACTTCCCATGGGCCTCCGAGAACTGCCACTGTGCTTATGTTTCCTTTCTGCTGGGGTTCCTTGCTGGCAAGCAAGGGGGTGCTGGCCGGTACCAGAGGGCTCCCAGAGTTCGGTGGCTGAGCAGGGGGAGGCCCCTGTGCCTGAGGCTTCCTGGAGCCCGAGAGGCGGAGCCTTGTCCAAGGCTAGTGGCCCGAGGTCTGTCTGTGGGCTCCTGAGTGGCTGCCCTCAATGGCCAACCCGTTCATCCTTTCTGGAAGGAGGGGCTGCTCCCCTGATCCTGCACTTGGCCCGGAGGCCTCTGACCACGTTCCGGGGCCGAGGGCGGCATAGGCGAGGGGAGTGGATGTCATCAGCTCCAGGGCCACCGACAGAGGTGAGGACACCCCTCCACGGGGCGGGGGGGGGGTGCTGGAGCACCCGCTCAGAGGTCCCTGACACTCAGGTCTGCAGCACACAGTGTGCGATCCCAGGTGTGGTTTGAAGCCACTGTCCTGTCCACCTGGGGACGTGCAGGACCCGGGGAGGCCATCGCATGAGCCGTGGGCCCGGTTCTGCCGAGTGTGTGTTCTCTGAGCCCTCCTACCGGCGGGCAGGAGTGACGTGTGTCCGAGGGTGGGGCTGTAGGGTCCGGGGGCCACCCACCAGCCACAGGAGCCATTGGGGTGGGGGTGGGTGGCGGGGCTTCGGAAGCAAGGCTTGGCAGCTGCCTTTGGGCGCCTGGGGGACCCGCAGGGAGCTCCTCCTGCCCAGCCGGGACCTGCAGGTGCCCAACGGCCCAGCGCGCCCACCTGTCCTCCTCCCTTGGTCCCGCTGGTCCCGCTCTTCTGTGCAGAGGGCAAGCGTGTGCTAGTCCCCCAGAGGCTCGACCGTGCCCCTGAATCAGGCCAGGGCCGGCCACGCATCCGTTGACTCTCTTTCTGGTGACGACAAAGCGTGGCTCTTTCTGTGCAGTGGTCAGGGTGGGTCCAGTGCCCTCTGTCACCCCTGCTCCGCCCAGTGCACTTCACACACCGACACACCCACGTCCTCAGTTGCTTCAGGTACAGGTGATTAAGAGAATGCCCCCCCCCTCCCCGCCGGATTTGGGGATTCAGCCAGGGAGGGGCATGTAATGCTGGCTTCAGACCAGCAGAGGGCAGTGGTCAGCTTGGCCAGCTTGCACCCAAAGGGGGGGGTTGGGGGGGATTCCAGGGGGTGGGAGGGGGGGCGAGTCCGAGGGAGGGCGCTGCCGAGGCGAGGCACCTGCAGTCTGCCTGGACTGACCCTCACCCGTCCTCATAGCAGGGCTGAGCCCACTGTGGGTCTCCACGGTCCAGGGGCCTCCTCCGGGCCCCCCGTAGAGGCCTTTAAGGGGAGTCAGCTGAGGGCCAGGAGGGGGAATGAGTGTTGGGGGGTCCTGGGGGATGAATCATGAGTGGGGCCAGGGGCAGGGTCCACATGCCACCCCGGCATCTCCACCCTCAGAGGAGCCTGCAGCCCCCTTCGCCCGGGCCTCCCCAAGCTCACTCAGCACAGCGAGAGGCCAGGCAAGTCGAGCAGGGGCCAGTGGTCCGGCGGGGACTCAGACAGCAGGCAAGGACCCAGCGGCCCGTTGTTGACAGAGCCAAGGCTTGCTGATGTGACACAAGATGAAGCCACTCTTGGAAAGATTTCTCTGCAGCCCCCTCACCCCTGCTCCCCCAGAGGCCCCCTCGGTCCCCCGGGGACTCATGTAATGACCGTCAGCTGCTTGCTAGACACGGCTCATCCCTCTGGGTGGCGAGTAGGCCAGGGAGGAGGCATTCTCCACGCGTGGGTGGCCTCGGGCCTTTGGTTTGTGACGTCTTCTTCGTCGTAAGGGGCAGCCCCCTCCTCGGGCAGAGCTGTGCGCTCCCACTGTGGACACCGGACCACAGAATGTTCTAGGAGCTCTCTGCTGGCCACTGCACCTGCTGCACTGCTGCTGACCGACGGCACTGTCTGCTCACACCCTGTATTCAGGGCGGGGGGACCGGGGCTGGATACATTTTCCACTCCGCGCTGCAACCAAAGTCCACCCTTTTCTTTTTGCGTAAAGCCAGGAGCCAAGTGCAAAGGGGCCCCTGCTAGCGGGGGAGGGGCGAGGCCCAGGGTTCAGGGCACAGAGGGAGGCAGGGAGGGTGGAGGCAGTTTCCGAGGGGAGAAGCGCTTCTGGCTGTGCCGCGGTTCAGGGTGGGCAGGCGGCAGGGAGAGAACACTTGCAGGGGACCTGCATGACCCTGAATGAACGGCTGCTCTGGGGAGGAGGTCCCCAACCTGTACCCCAGGGGTCCCTGCTGAGTAGGGACACGGGCCCCTCCTTGCTGCTTTTGCCAGAGACCCTGTGATGACAAACGGAATCCACACACAGGAGAGGGCAGGTGGCCTCGAGCACCACCTGCTGGCCGGTGCCACCCCCCCATCCCAACACCAAGCTGCCTGGGAAGGCAGAGAGGACGCTGCAGTGAGCTGGGGGCCCCTCCCGCAAGGATGTGTTCGGCCTTCAGCTGGGAGCCCGGGGCGCTTCTCTGGGAAGAAGAAGGTGGCTACCGGGACCTTAGAGTAAGGTCTCCTGCTCCTCCGAAGGTGGGAGCCTCCGCCTGCAGAGACGCTCCAGGGGCTGAGCATCGCGCCCCCAGCGCTGGCCGAGCTCTTTGCCTGGGTGTCTCCAGCTCCTCTGCTGATCGCTGGCCTCACCTGCGGGGCTCGCTTGGCCCCGGGGACATCGTGAATCCCGCTCTCTCCTCCGAATCCCCCGACGGAAGACCTACAGACCCTGACGCCCTTGCAGGGCTTGGAGAGGCCGGAGCCGACAGAAGGAAGGTCAAGGCTGCCCCGTTCACAACTGGGCCTGGGAGGTTTCCTTGGGAGGCTCAATTCTCAGGACTCAGCACAAATCCTTTCTGGGGCTCCTGAGTCCCCTCCAGGACCCACACTCTGTCCCATGACTGGCCCCTTGTTGACTTATGTCCTTGACTGGTGGGAACCAGTGGCCACCACAGGGCAGGGACAGTCATTCCTTCCGTGTACTCCCAACGCCGGCTCAGTGCACGCCCCCTACAACCGTCTGCCGAGTGAAGGAAGATTTCGTGCTTTCCGCAGTTAGGCTGCGTCGGGTGGCACAAGGTGTCCAGCAGGCCCCTGGCTGGTTTCGGCTGTGCGGGTTTTCGCGGTCGGCCCACACTCTGTGGCATCTGATGGTCTGACCATCATCTCCTGTGTTTGTTCCCAGGGCGAATTTCTCACTGTTCAGGAGGAGGTCACGTCATGGGAGGCGTGGCCAGATACACGCTGTCCACCGGAGCCCGTCAGAACGGGACAGTCTTCCAGCACTGACGGTCCCCAGGGAGCCCCCTCCGGCTCTGGCGAGAGCACACGCGCTCGTGGGATTCAGGAATCAGAAGCAGAGCGGCCCAGATGTACGTTTCAGCTCTGGGTCCTAGAACTCGCCTTTTCCACCTGTAGGAATCCTTGGGGGGGGGGGGGGAACGGCGTCCACGGGACGCTGGGACGTGGACAGTGGAAAAGTCCAACTCAGGCTGGCGGCGCTCCACACGGGGAGGAGGGGCTCCGGCTGGGCCCCAGATGAGGGTCCGGCCCAGCGGGCAGATGCACCCACACAGGGAGGGTGGGTAGTGTTTGGATCCACACGGTGCTCCCCCCTCCCCTGGCAGCCAGGCTGGAGCAGGGGGAGGGCTGAGGGGGCGCAGGCCAGGGGCGCCCTTCGGGACGCTGCCAGGGCGGTGCCCTCGCGGGCGGCACAGGGCGTGCTGGCCTCCTGCCCAGCCCCCGCCAGCCAGCGCTGGGAGGGAGCCAGCGGGGACAGCCCAGTGCCCCCAACGCCCCGGGGCGGGCAGGGGCGGGCGCCTGGAGGAGGCACTGGGGAGGGCTGGGGAAGGGGTGAAGCAGGCCGGGTTCTGGCTGGTCCCCGGGAGGGGCTGCCCTCTTGGGACGCCCACCCCACCCAGGCTGGCCGCTCCGCGCCACAATCCTTCGCTGTCAGGGAATCTCGGAGAAGCATGAGGCTCAGCACTTTCTCCTCGGAGCCGCGTTACAACCACATAATTGAGGCTCTGATTGGAGGGTAGCCAAGCAGGTAGATTACGGGTGATTAGAAGTGATCGCCATGCCCGCAACCTGAGACACGTGAGGCACCCCGCCCCCCAGGCTCCTTTCCCGCCGCCCCGTCCCCGCCTGCAGACACCCCGGCCTGGGCCTCGGCCGGCCTCGGGGTCACTGCCCACCCCGCCGTGCCTGGCCCTTGCTGTGGGAGTCTCTTTGTGTCCAGGAGGAGAGCCCCAAGGCTGTGAGCCCCTCCCTGGGGATGAGGACTACCTCTCCACCACAGAGGCCCCTCCCGGCCCCTCCAGCTGCCCTCCCGCCCGGCTGAGCCTCCCCTCGGGGTGGGCACGCCCCCCGGCACTCTGGGCTGGCTCCAGGGGCCCCCTTACCGGCACAGTCTGGGCCCCAGCGATGGGCTGTGTGCTGGCCTCGGGGCCCGGTGGCGGCTCGGGGTGTGTCTGCGCTGGTGTGTACAGGGTCATGCCGTGCTCCGGGGGGACCGGCGTCTGGCCCGAGTACTCCTGCGTGGGGTGCGGAGGGGGTGGTGCATACTCGGCGGGGATGCCGTTCTGTGGCGGAGGGGGGTACTGGGCGGGGGGGTAGGGCTGGGCCATCGCTTCAGGCGGAGCCGTGGCGTCCTGATTGCCCTGCGGAGGCAGAGAGAGCAGCCTGGTTAGACGGCTGGCGGGCCGCGTCCCTGCCCACCTTCCTTCTGACGGTTCACGGGCTGAGCGGTGGCGGGGGGGGGGGGATTCGTGGGGGACTCCCCGACATGGGGTTCCAGATCGGAGCCGCGGAGGTGACTGCTGGGGCGGGGGGTGTCTGGGGAGCTTAGGACTTGAGACCACTGATGCATACACTTGGCGTTGTCAGACCTGAGGATGTAAAGTCACATGAAGTTGTAGGAAAGAACACTGGCGGTGTCATGTATGTGTTACCCAGTGTCAGCGGGCGCTGACCTCCTGTGAAGCCACCCCACCAGGAGACACTGATCCAGACAAGACACAGAGCGTTTCTCTCGTTACCCCCTCTCCCTCCCTGATCAAAGCCTTGGTTTTCCCATTGGTAAAGGAGGTGAAGGAGAACATCACAGCCTCTGCCCGGGAGATTTAAGAGTCGATCCCGAAGAACTTGGAGCCCCGAACAACGTGGCCACCACGATGGCCCCAATAGTGAGGTGCGGTCCTTAGGGCACGGAAGGTTCTGGGTGCATCTCTACAACAATCCCGGAGCACATCTTCAGAAGACCCCACACTGCCCTTGCAGGCCTGCTGTCCCAGGCCCTAGGGAGGGTCCCGGCAAAGCCACGGAGCAGATGACCTTCAAATGGGGAGCTCGGACCCAGCAGCATCACCTGGGGGCTTGTCAGCAAAGCAAGGTCTCGCCCGCACCCCAGACCTCCCACTGCAACCTGGGCACTTGTGGGATCCCCTGATGTGGCCCTGGGAGGAAGTGCCTTGGCCCCAGAGAAGGGACTGGGGTCCTTGCACTGTCAGAGGGGAGGTGGAGGGAGGGCAGGTGTGCAGCAGCCCCTCTGAGCAGGCGAGGCGCTCTCTGCTTTCTGAGACTGTCCCTGGGGGAGAGAGTGCCACCTCTGAGAATCCCGCCTGCGGAAGGACCCTTGCACAGACTGATGGCTGCTTTCCTGACGTCTCCCTGGGGGAGGAGCCCCGTGCACTCCCATCACGCCGACGGACCAGGCAGGTTTCCGGGTGTGTTTCCTTGCCCATCCCCCTCCCCCCACCCCCAAGGGACGGGTGCCCCTTCTCCGCCCTGTCCTTTATCGGTTATACTCATTCACCAGTAACTGCTTACTGGGCATCTGCGGGGGCGCCAGGCCCATGGCCATGGTGGGGGGCGGGGCTGGATGGGCAGGCTGGGCCTCACGGACTCTGCCATCCGGAGGCGGGGCGGTAAATTCAGAGAATCACCCAGAATGTGAGATACCCTGGCCTCACAAGGGTGTTGGCGAATGTGCGAATGCCCCGGGCTGGGTGTTCTGTCTTCCAGCCGGGGTCCTGTCCCCCACCGACTGACTCGTCCACCTGCCCACCTCCCTGCTAGCGGGGGGCATGGGGCCCAGGCAGCCCAGCCCCTCCAGACCCCAGGTGCCCGCCTCCCTTCTCGGTGCCCGCTACCCCTGGCTCCTGGGGTGACCCTGCTGGGTGGTGGCCTGATGAGCAGACAATCCTGTTCTTCTCCTTCTCCTCCTGTGAGAAGCCGCCGGCTCCCACCTCTGTCTGCAGAGACTGAAGCCAGGGCAGCATCAGAGTTCCACAGAGGGAAACACGCGTGTGCACACACGTACACTCATGAGTGCATGCCCTTTGCTGGACACCCCCCCCCCCACTACTCCAAAGTAGCCCATGAGGTCCTGTTACCCACGATTAGCAGACGTGCTGGGGGGGAGGAGGGGTGGGCTCAGGGTGGGGAGGGGTCAGGTAGGGGGAGGTGAAGAGCACCTGTGCCAGGGAGGGATGGAGGGATGGGGGCCAGGGCAAGGAGTGAGGGGAGCTGGAGGGGCCAGGCCAGGGTAAGGGGAGGGCGCTGTCAGCAGCCTCCAGAGATCAATTAACTGATAAATATTTGATTAGAACCTTCACTAGCATCTTCCCAGCATTCCTGCTTCCCTGCCTCCTCCAAGGCCCAGCAAAGCGGGGCGTCTCTCCCATCTGCGTCTTCTCACCCCCACCACTCCCCAGCGGCCTCTTCCCTGGGTCCCCTTGGGACGGAGTGACAGCAGACCCACCCTCGTCCCGCACTCCCCGGGCTGGACACAAAGGTGGGACACCAGGCAGTGTGTCTGCGGCATTTGGACATTCAGGACAGGACAACGAATCACATCTGAGCACACGGCGCTCTCTGCTCTGCAGACGTTAAGTCACCCAATCCCCCTCCGACCTACAAGGCGAACAATGTCCCCCATTTCACAGCTGATAAAACTGAGGCACAGGGACTGAGGGACGGGTCAGACTGCTATGGCAGGAGCTGGGATGGCGGTACGGGCTGCCTGGCCCTCAATTCTATGCCGCCCCTCCATGCACAACGGTGGCCCTTCATGGGGGTGTCTCTAGGGGTGTGTGTGAGGTTTTACAGCCAAGCGACAGAGTTCAGAGCCTGGGCTACACAGCCAGGGCTCCCTCTCAGCCACCGGGTGGCCCTGGGTGACCATCCATCCTCTTTGACAAGTTCCCCGCAAGAGGTCGTCACGGTGGCTGGATGGAGGAAGCGTGGCATAAAGGCTTGTTAGCGTGACTCAGTGGGTCCTGGGGGGACCCCCACCAGCCCGCCTCATGTCTCCCCCACACCCAGGCTGGAGGCAGTGGTGGTCAAGTGTGCGGCTCTCACCCTGGCTGCACTCCCCATGCCCGGACCCCTCCTCAGGGCAACCGAGTCCATTTACATCCAAACTTGCCCACAAGGTGCTGGTGTGCAGTTCAGGCTGAGGGCCCCTGGGCCGGGCTCGGATAGGAAAGCAGGGGTCATTAGGTGCCCCTCGAGGGCGTGTCAGCACCTGACCCCGAGAGGGCAGTGCGGCCAGTGTCGCCACGTTCTTTTTCTTCCTTCCTTCTTGGTCTGCTGGGGCCAGAGTCAAGGAGAGGCTCGGCGCCGAGGCATGAGCTGAGCAGAGTCCCAGCCAGCGGCATTTCAGAGCAGCTTGTGAACATGTCTGGCTCCCCAGGGGACTGGAAATTCCCAGAGCATGAGAGCCACTCACTCATTCTCTGCTCCCACATCCCTGCACTCAGCACAGGACTTCACTGCACTCAGAGGAGTCTCAATGCACAGGGGATGGGTGGATGTGTGGATGGATGGACGGATGGATGGATGGATGGATGGATGGAAAGGTGGATGGATGGATGGGGGATGGAGAGATGAATGGGTGAATGGATGGACCAGTGGACAAATAGGTAGACGAATAGATGGATGGATAGGTGAATAGATGGGATGAATGGATAGATGGATGGAAAGATGGATGGATGGACGGACGGACGGACGGACGGACGGACAGATGAAAGGATGGGTGGATAAATAAATGGATAGATAGATGATGGGTGGATGGATGAAGGACGGATGGATGGGTGGATGGACGGATGAGTGGTGGATGGTTGTGAATGGGTGGACAGACAGATGGATGGATGAGTGGTGGATGGATGGGTGGACAAATGAACAGATGAGTAGACGGACAGTCATTACCCCACTCCCTTTACAAACCTGTCCCTCTCCTCTGTCATCACATTTGCCTGATAAAACCAGTAAGACCCAGCTCTGCCCACTGTACTCCGTGGCCCACGCTGCTGGAGAGAAACACAAGATCACCCTGAATGATTCACTTAAGATCACCGACTCCGGACAGAAGCAGGCCTGGCACTGCCACTCAGCTCTCACTCAGCTCTGGGTGGCCAGTCAGCTCCTCCTCCGCCACCCTCCATCCCCCACCATCCTCACTCTTGCTGGGAAACCGTTTTCTCAAGAAAACAGGAGGGAACCTCCATGCTCACCTGCTGGCCTGGTTCATTTCCTGGAGCCCAGCCCTTCCCCCCAACACACGCTCACGGCTCTGGTGATTCACTGCAACCTCTCCTGTGAGCCGCCTGGACCTCTGGCCCCCGATTCCTTTCCTCCGGCACCTTCTTGGCCCCACTGCAAACTGGCTTTCCCGGGCACCGTTCCCCGAAACTACCTTCGTCAAGGTTCCCACGTCTGCCACGTTGAAACCCTCGCTGGACCTCACCCCTCGGCAGCGCTGGAGGCGCTGATCACCCCCCTCTAGAAACACTGTCCTCTCTCGGTTCGGCCGAGCCACCCTCTCTGTTCGTTCTCCTGCCTCAGTGGAGGTTCTTTCTACATCCGCCTTACCTGATCCTCACATCTCCCCAGACTGCAGACGCTGAAGGCGCCCAAAGCCCAGTCCTTGGACCCTCTCTTCTGTGGCTATAAGCACTGCCCGGAGGTCTTAATCTCCGTTTCAAAATAGCAGCCATATGGGGGCACCTGAGGGGCTCAGTCAGTTAAGTGTCCAACCTCAGCTCAGGTCATGATTTACTGGATCGTGGGTTCGAGCCCCGCGTTGGGCTCTGTGCTGACAGCTCAGAGCCTGGAGCTGCTTCGGATTCTGTGTCTCCCTCTCTCTCTGCTCCTCCCCTGCTCCCTCCCTCTCCCTCAAAAATAAGTAAACATTAAAATAAAATAAAATAAAATAAAATAAAATAAAATAAAATAAAATAAAATAAAATAGCAGCCATCTGTTGATCAACCCCAAGTTCTCCATCCCGGGCTCCTCCCCATAATTCCGACAGCTGCTAGCAGTCTGCCTGCCTAACACTCAAAATTTGAACTTGACCTCCCCCTCCCCATTCAGCTGCCTCTCTTGGGGTCTTCTCATCTTGGGAAACACCCCCTGCCCACAGGCCAGTGCTCAGCCCCACACCTGGGGTGACACCTTTTCGTCCACTCCAAACGATCAAACAGAAAGTCCCGTCGGCTGCACCTTCAGCACGTACCCAGCACCCAACCACCTTGACCGACTCGCTGCTCCCACCTGGGTCCGGCCCCCATGACGTCCCGCAGTCTTCCGGCTTCTGCCCCCACCCTACAGCCAGCCGTCTCCGAGTCCCGGCGTGGCCCATTGGCCCTGCATGACCTG